GGCCCCCCCCCCCCAGCCTCGGGAGGGGCCGAGGAGTAGGATTTGAGATGAGGAGAGTTCTGAGATGTTGAAGCGGCCGAAAGACAGGGAAAGAAGCGAGAGAAGAGGTGGGAGGGGACAGAGGGGGACGAAGGGGACGCCGAGCCTGGCAGCAGCCGGAGGACACGGGGATCCCGCGGGGGCAGTGCGCAGCCAGGGAGGCGGTCGGCCTGGGCCGGGGGCGAGGCCAGGAGGCGGCGCGTGGTGGGACCGGGGCCGCCAGCACTCACCCGGTGCAGAAAGCTCAGCCGGTCCCGCAGCGGCGGCGTGGCCGCCATAGTGCCGGTCACCTTCCGGCCCCGCCCCTATTCCGCCAGGCCCGGGCCCCCGCCAATCACTGCGTGAGTCTGACCCCGCGGGCCAATTACTCGCGTGAGGAGGGCCTTGAGGCCGACTTCGGGGAAACAATTTGCGCGTAAACCAATACAAAGTCCAAGAACAGCGACAGGCAACGATCCAACTGCAGGGCTCTGGGAGACTTAAGAGCGGTTCCGGAGAGGTAGAGGCGAGGGCTAAGCCTGACCAAATGACAAAGCGCAAGAAAGGTTGTGGGCGGAAGTGCCTGCCTGTCAAGCCGTTGGGCGCCGGAAGAGGCCGGACCTAAGATGGCGGCGCCCACAGGTGCCGGGAAGAGCCTCTCATGTCGGGGAACGGAGCTGTGTGGGGTCGCGTGCGTAGCCGCCTCCGCGCCTTCCCCGAGTGTCTAGCGGCCTGTGGGGCCGAGGTGCGGAGTCGTCAGACGGGGCAGGAAGGGCCGTGCGGGGCGGGGTGCGCGCTGGCGGGAGGCGGGTAGTGGTGACCCGGGAGCGGCGGCGGCGGCGGGGTCCGCCCCGGGTAATGAGTGGGCGCGTGGGCCGTGGCGACCCTCTCCCGTCTCCATCCGCCCCCAGGCCGCGGCCTACGGCAGGTGCGTGCAGGCGTCCACGGCCCCGGGCGGCTGCTTGAAGAAGGATCTATGTGCGCAGGAGTTCGAGGCTTTGCGGAGCTGCTTCGCTGCTGCGGTAAGTGGACGCCAGCTTCGACCGGGGGGGGGACCCACGTTACCCGCTCGGGAAGCTGGCTTCCCTTTCTTCTGGGTTCGGTGTTGGGCTCCAAGAGGTGCTTCAATGGGCCACAGCCCCACACCAGCCGGCGCGACCCCCGCCGCCACGGAGGCTGCCTGTAATGAGGCTAGCAGAAGGTTTTGAGGTGGTGCCCAAGGCGTCAAGGTCCTGGGTTGCCTCGACTCTGTGGGTCTGGGGTGGGCCACGATGCCCACAGTCAGTTCTGCTCACCAGAGCTGCTGGTGCTGAGTACTGGACCAGAGAGGGGGCAGTTGGGTCAGCTCAGCAGAACTGAGGGAATCCAAGGCAGTTTCCAGATGTTCCAGGATGGCTGATGCATGGGCCATACTTCATTTCCCAGAGGGCTCAAAGAACCCCTTGCACCTTTGCAATCATTGTGACTGGGATATGTGGCCTCCGCCCTCGTCACCAGTCTCTGATCTGACATGTTCATCCAAGATGCATGTGTCGCTTGGACTTGCTTCCTGCCCCTTGGCAGCTTCCCTGCTTTACTAAGAGCACTCCCTCTGGAAGGTACAAACCTTCATCGTGTGGTCAATGGTTGGAAGGATTCACATGTAAAATAAAGATCACACACTCCTGGCCAAACCAGGCTTTTCCCTACCGCCTGTGGTTATTAGTCAGTATCACAGGTATCTGGTCATCTATGACTCCGTATGCTCCTTTGCCTCTGTCATGTTGCCCTGCCCCCGGGAGCACATCACCGCCTCTGCTGCTGTTTTCCATCGAAGGCAACCTAACCACAGGCCCTGGAAGTTCAGGACAGGAAACCTGGGGGTTTCTCATTTAAAGACACAAGCCATTTTGTCTACTCTGCCTGCACTCTGAGGCTCTGTGGGGGTGCATGAGGAGGCAGGAGGGGAGCCTGTCTCTGGGCAAGTGTTTCCATCTCTGACTTAGAGATTCCTTTATAGAAGGGGTAGGACTAAATGGGACTCGTTGCTGGCACAATACCTGGCAGGGGTGGGAGAGGCCACAGAGCAGGTTGAGCCCAGCCCCGGCTACCAGTGCCCCAACCAGCCTGGCCCCATGCTGCACACCTGTGGCCAAGCTCTTTGTAAGTTATTTGCCAGGAGGTGGCTTCTGGTATGGTAGTTTTCTTAACTTTGAAACCATGTCTAGCTTGAAAGCAACCCATTCAGACACAGCCTTTTGTCTTCCAGGCCAAGAAGACCCTGACAGGAGGCCATTAGGAAGGACTGCGAGCTCCAATCCACGTCCCTGGGTGCCTGGCACTGATGATCTCAAGGGGCAAGCGTCTTAAAACATCAAAAGCTCTTGGGGCTAAAAGGACTGGAAACATATTAGGCGCGCATGAGCAGAGGGGAATGGGTTTTCCAGCCTTGCATGCCTGATTTGGGGAGAATAAGATACAGTGAACCCACAATAAAGACCAGATCAGATATTGTAAGATTTGTTTTGTCATCTGCAGAATGAGTGCATGGGCTGTGAACAAGCTGCCTTGCGAGTCTCGTTCTTTAAAGAATTCTCACCAAAGGTATGTCATCTGAGTCTGGCGAAGCATTTAGAGGTAACTTCCAGGTTATAGCACAGACCAAAGAGAGAACAGTGACATCGTGAGGGAAAGGTCCGAGCTGTAGGAATCTGATACTGATGGGTTTTTTTTCTGACTTAGAAAAAAAAGGTGGGGGTTGCTCTTCCAGACAAAGGGGTGAACCCCGGGAGGGTCCTGTTTTAGCAACCTGGTGCCCATGAGACTTGCTCCATGGGGTTGCCCCACCCTCCCTTACAGCCACTGGAGTCTGAGCCCAGGTCCATCCTGGCCAGGCTCCTGCCCACTCTGGTCCCGCCCCTCATCCTGAGATACGGTAAGGCCGCAGCAGCACACGTGCTGGAGCTCCAGGGAGACCCAGTGGGACCCAGGAAGATTCCAGCATCCTGAGCACTGCCTGCTGGGCGTGTCATCCCAGAGCCTCCTTCTCCAGGGTGTGGAGGTCACATTGTCCTCTGGCTCCACCCAGGCCTGCTGTCCCAGAGCTTTGTGCCAGGGCACCCACACCCTGACGCCCGGAGCTGTTCCCTCTTACAAAGGCTCCTGCACTTCCCCCACAAAGCGCTGAAACCCCTTATCTCTGAGCTATCATCCCAGTGAAACGCAGTTCCCAGGGCAGCCTTGGAGGGGAGCCACACGCTGTTCAAGGATTTCAGGGCTGTTAAAGACTGGCTGACTGGGCAGTCATGTTTACCAGTCACGACTGGTATTCAGGACCAGATATCATTGACATGACCCCCATCCCGGCCAGGGGTGATGGACCCTCAGATTGGCTGAGGGCAGGAGTGAGGAGTGGGCCAGGGGGACAGACTTGCTGAGAATGCCTCCCCCCTTCCCTGTCTGCCAAGACCTAGCATGCACACCCGGCAGGTGCCTCCTGCCTGAGGACGGCCTCTTTCTGACCCTTTGTGCTTTCTGCACTTTGGCATCTCTGCTGTGCACAGGCTCTCTGGTCCCTTCCAGAACCACCCCTCCCGGTGCTCTCCTATCATCCTTTCAGATCCCAGTTCACGGGGGCAGGTGAGGCCACCAGCCATGTGTCAGGTCCAGGGCTGTGGACGTGACCCACTGGCTGGGCCAGGCTGCTCACCACACGCTGAAGTCAGTTCATGGGCCTCCCTGGCTCCCCTCCCCAAACTCAACCTCAAAACTGTGTTTATGGGAGGGAATTCAACCGAGTTGTGTCAGGGTGCAAAAAAGATGGTTCCTGCTGCTTCTTCAGCTGTGTCACCAAGAGGCAGTCACCCTGTGTGGCTCTGTATGCTCCACCTGTCTTGGCCTCGGACTCAGGGCTCAGCTGCACCACGGGAGGCCATACCCAGCCTCGGCCCTGGCTTCTTCCCACCCCGGGCTGGGCTCGGGGACCCCATTCTAGAACTGGGAGTACAGACAGGGTCCTGTCCAGTCACCTAGGCCAGCCAGGCCTCGTGTCTGCCGCGTGCATCTGCCAGCACAGAGGGTCACTCCTGGTGGCCCGGTGTGCTGCACTGGCCACATCTACCAGCCGTGGGACCCAGCGGGAGGGATGGCCTGTGGTCAGAAAGCAAGGCACTGCCCCCGGCCCCTCGTGGCTCCCTGCAGTACTGGTCGCGGTGACCCCACCCAGAGGTCTGCCCAGATCTCTCCCGAAGGAAAGGACTGGGGAGGGGAGTGGAGCTGAATACAAGCATTAACTGGGACAGAAGACCCTGAGCGTCCAGAGGTGCGGGGATAGCAGGCGATGGCAGAGGCTGCACTGCTGCTCTCAGATGGCTGTGGCCCCTGCTCTGAGGAAGAAGTTATCCTTGCAGAAATCGAGAGAACACTGGGTCAAGGTGAGAGATCCAGGTAAAGAGGGCTGGACACGCAATCCCACCTTGAAACAACAAACGGTGTTCCAACCTGAGGGAAACTTCCGCCAGGTATAGTTTGCTTGGAATTATTTTTAGTTAAGAATGGAGGGCAAGAAGCACTGGGACCCAGCCGCCTTTCACTGAGCTCCCCTCTGTGTGAGCAGTGCCCGGGGTTCGTGGGGAATCAGCTTGACTTCCAGAGGACTCCACTCCTTTTATTATTCATTTTGAGGCTTCAAGATGACATAGAAATCACAGTAAACAATAAAACCATTTCAAAAGGCACAGGGGAAAGGTGAGCCGAGACCAAGGCTGGAGCTGTCATATGGCCTGTGCATCATGCCTGGCTAGTGGTCAGTGAATGGCCCCGCCATGGACCCCTTGGGGCAGGGTCTGGAGTGGCCCCTGCCCCCAGAGGGGAAGGAGGCACACACAGCACAAAGCACAAAGCAGCTGAAGGCCCCAGACTCCTGAAGGCAGAGTCCAGCATGTCTGTCAGGTCACCTGCCAACCAGCCCCCAGTCAAAGGATGACCACTGGCCTCTCTGCCCCTTGAAACAAAGTACAACAAAAAACACCACAAAAACCCTCCCAACAGATGAGTCCCAAGGGTGCAAACCCAGGGGAGACGCTGCCCTGGAAAAAGTGAGAAGTGGCGAGAAGTGAGGCCATGCACCCCTCCCCTCCGGGCCTCGAACCCACGTTTCGTGGTCACGGCTTTGGTCTGTGGTGTGGGAGCCTTTGGGTGATTCACCTCGCACCAACCAGACAGCAGTGGTCTGTTTTACTTTTTAAATCTCACAACCACTCGCTTGGGACACTGAAGTATGCAGAGCAGAGCACCAGGGCGGAGGCGGCTGGACCCACAGCCCTGTCCAGCCTCTCAGACTTGACGCAGCATTTGCGGTGAGGGGGTGAAGGCAGAAACATTTACTCAGGCTCTGTACTGACAGTCACAGAACATCAAGAAGGAATTCAAGTTCAGGGTGACATCTGCCTCTCATGGCAGCCAGGGGGCCAGGGCTGCAGTCAGCACTCAGAGCCCCAACATCTCCACCTGAACCCCACTGGCTCCCACAGCCACACAGGAGGTGGTGGGTCATGTTTCCTGGTCTCAGGGAGCGGCTGTTTTTCCTCCTCAAGGCTGGAGGGAGTTGAGTCATGGGAGAGTCAGCCTGGAAGTGGCTGCAGCTGCAGAGGCATCACTCCACCCTGGGCCTGACTTGAGCGTGGCACCCACCGTGGTCCAGGTTCACCAGCTGACCAGAGCATCCTGGCCTTAGTGGGGCTCAGGGCTCCTCCAGGGTCCCAGGCAGCTGTTTGATCTGGCGGCCTGGGACCACCCGCAGGGCGCCCCCAGCGGCCTGGTGCAGCTGGGTCTCCAGGGCGCTGCGGAGGTCGTTGACCTGCACGTCGGGCAGTGAGTTGAAGCTGATGATGACACCGTCCTTTGGGGCCAGCCCCGCCTCTGCCAGAGGAGCTACGTCCCGCCGTCTCCTCCGAAGGTCGGAGCCCACCTGGACTTTCAAATCCCGGTTGGGTTTGGCGTTGTCCGGCTTCTGATCTCCAGGGATGGCGGGTTTGGGCCCAAGCTCAGGGTCTGGCCTCTGCTTGGGCTCCTGTCCGGCGGTGTCCTCCCGGGGAGCAGGCACATGCTCCCTGCCGGGGGCCTCCTTCCTCATCTCCGCATGCCCACCCTGCTGCCCACCCTGTCCTCCAGCAGGGTCGGCCCGGTGTTCCGGCTGATGTAACACAACCTGGGCCTGGGGGGCTGCTACCCCCGACCTGCCTCCAGGTGCCCGGTCTCGGCTCGCTTGCTGGGACTTTACCTGAGGGGCCCCAATCGCTGCCCCTACCCCCGGCACATCTGCCTCCTGAGCGTCCGCACCAGCAGCTGCTACCTCCTTCCCGGGTTTCTTCTCCTCGTGGGCGCCTCCACCAAAAACATCCCGGCTCTGCCCTGGGACGTCCCCAACCCCACGCTGCTCTGGGCTCCCGGGCACCCTGGCAGGCTCTAGCACAGGGACCCGCTCTTGCACACCAGCACCCTCAGCCTCAGGCACAGCGCCCTGCCGGCCTTCCTGTGGCTCCGCCGGAGCTGCCCAGGGCTCCGGGTCAGCACCGCCAGGAGGTGCAACTGGGGCTCTGCCCACTGCCCCCTCAGGCTCCTCCACGGAACGCTGGCTGTGCCCCTGGGCAGGAGCAAGGGGACGCCCAGGAGCGCCGGGCAGGACTTCCACAGGCTGCGGCGGGGGACGCTCCACCATCCCCGTGTCATGGACCTCCTGCTCCTTACCTCTGGGCGCGGCCACCCCCAGCTCAGGCTGTACGTCCGCTGCAAATGAAGTCAGGCACCCGTTTAGCCACAGAGATGAGCAGAAGCTACCGACGCAGTGACTAAATGAAGCCAGCTTGCCAGCAATCAAGGAATACAAACACCTGCTTAAATTCGCCCAGCAGGACTCTAGACCACAGAGCCACAGATCCAACGGGGATGGCGGGGCAGGGGGCGGGCAGGAGGAGGCAGGAGACTCTGGCTTTCATGCATTAAGGGACAATCCCTGGGCTTCCCTGGTGGCTCAGTGGTAAAGAATCCGCCTGCCAATGCAGGAGACATGGGTTCGATCCCTGATCTAGGAAGATCCCATGTGACTTGGAACAACTAAGCCCACCCACCACAAGGACTGAGCCCACATGCCGCAACGACTGCCAAGAGCCTGTGCTCTGCAACCAGAAGCCAGCACGCAGCAACGGGGGCAACCCGGCGCTCTGCAGCGAGAGAAAGCCTGTGCAGCAATGAAGGCCCAGCACAGCCAGAATACATACATACATAAGCACAATTCTTTTTAAAAAAGTGACAACCCCTCTTCCCTGAGCAGGTGCAGCCACCGTCCCCAGCCTGCCCGGCCCCTCCCCCCCTCCCTCCCCCAGACTTGCCATCCTCGCCTTCCTGGCCATCCTGCCTCTGCTGATGGATCTCTTTATGCTGCTCTTCAATCACCGCGAGCAGCTTCTCCTGCTGGTCCAGGAGGCGCTTCTGCTGCACCTGCTGTTCCTTGATCACTTGCAATAATACGGCGTGGTCCAGCATCTCCGCCCGGCCAGCTTCTG